CGGAGTTCAAATAAAAAAAGGAGAGAATTTATGACTTAATTAGTTTATAATAAGGACTCTTAATTTAATTTAATAAGGAGTTTAAATAAAAAAAAAAAGGAGAGAATTTATGACTTAATTAGTTTATAATAAGGACTCTTAATTTAATTTAATAAGGAATGCTATCAACACCGTATATTATTTCTATTACTACACAATTTAATAATGACATAAAATTGTTAATTTGCTCCTTATTTTGTAAATTTATAATTTAAGAATTTTTTTTTTCCGTAGCTAATTCTGTTGCTATATATTAATTAACAAACCGCTTTGTTGTTCGTATGTGATCTCCGAACGTGAAGTTTCATATCAAAGGGACGAGTTTACTATCCGTCGCTACATCTATCGCTACAATATTTTAATTAGAGATGGATTTAACGTCCGTCGTTAATGCCATCGCTATATATAGACTATAGTCATCAAACAAACGGATTTATAGCCCGTCACAAATTCCAAAGCTAACTGGTCAATTTTGAAACGGATCTATATTCCGTCACAAACGTTCGTCACTAAATCGTGATTTTCTAGTAGTGTTTGTGGCTGTGGTCTCTCAATTTATTCTTGTAATAAATAATCATTTTTCGTATTAAAGATAAAACACCTTGGCATTCTACATCTTTGTCCCTTGTTCAAACATAGTAATAGCCCTTACAGTTATTACAATTACTTGTAATTGATATTTTAGGATCGTGAGTTATTTACTTAAGTATTATAATGGTTAAATCGTGTTCCTAGTCGAAGGGTTACGCCACCAATGCGGATATCGGCCTTTCCCATTAAGAGACTAGCACTTAGTGTATGTGTACTGTCTCTCATCAGTAAATGGTATTGTGATATCGGCATGCATAAGTGGGTGCTCGTAAGTTGACGAGTTCACCGAACTCCCTCATCCTAGAAATCTCTAAGTGGTTCTCAATAATCGAGTAAAGATCTCTATGGTATAGTTGTACACCATTAGTCCTTAAGACCTAGACATCCCCGTGACTTCACTAGAGGACCAGCTATATCGTGACCTATCCCTGAGTTCCACCGAGGACCGCCCCAAGGGCCAGTGTTCGTGCAGTCCGAAATCTAGTGGGAGGTATGTGCATTGTAGTCGGGGATTCGATCGGTAGAATAGTCTTGGATGTCCTGTGTGTTCTCATAGTTTGTAATCTTTAAGTCTTTGGCCAGAGTAGACTAAATGATGCTTAGAGAATTCGATTATCCAAGTCATGCACGTACCGATTACAACACTTAGAACGATCGCACAATTATTGAACTACAAATGAGGTCTCGATGAACCAACGCCTCTAGTTCAATCGGAACATATGAATCGAAGGGATCGTATTGTACGTTACTATATCACACGGTTCTTGCACGCGCTTCATTTATATTTAGGGAATCATGACGCGTAGTTGCTAGACCCCAATCTTGATCCGTCGGGTGATTAAGTTGAAACGAGATTCATCTTAACTTTAACTCTAGGGACGAGTTTAAACCACAAAGAGTTGTGGACCCATGGCTAGCTTACACCTGAACCATCGAGGGTCATACTGCTCGTGCACTCGAGTTCTTTGAATAAACGGTCAAAGATAAAAATGTTTAATATTTGCATAATTGGAAGTCAATATGATTGAGACCAACATTCGTAATTTGGAATTATGAATGAGAATGAGAAAAGGAATGAACTACGCAAACATCTTAGTGAACTTTCTAAATTGGGAAGTTTCCAAATTTAGAAGGTCCACTGAATTAGGGTTTCCAGTTTTAGAAATTGGAAATCGAGAATTGGCATTCGTAATGACGAGGACGTTTCAATGATTCCGAAAATATAATTGTTATAATTTTCCAATCATTGAGTTGTAAGAAACGAGCGAAGAAAAACGAACTTAAGCTGTTGGGCACGGTCTAACTTAAGCCCGTTAGGGTTTTTATACAAGACACTATAAATATAAGATTTATAGGTCTTGCTCAAAGACACAACACACACCAAAAACCCTAGCCTCTCATTGCTCACGTCCGCCGGAAATCGGTGCCCCATGCGCTGATACTTCTCGATAGTTCTATTCCTTTTTGTTTTATTCTTCCGTTTATTCTAACTTTTGCGTGTCTAATGCCATGTATTTAGTAGAACTTGGTATACGAGGCGAAATCTGAGAGGAGGAAGACAAAGGAGTCAAATCGCTGAGAAGCACTCGCCGAACAGCCGCCACACGCGCCACCGCTGCCCGCGCGTCTATCGCCGCCATTTCGCCGCCGCTACTCCCGACTACACGGATTGGTTTTCCGTGGCACTTTGCTTCAATCCGAGAATTCGCCTCACGCTTCAAGAGGTAATTTTTGGATCCGTACTGTATTAGGTTTTAATTTAGTTAGATTAAATTAAATGTTTATGAATATTATGATGATTTCGCTTGAATGTTTTCGTGAAATTGTTGATGTATGAATTATGATTTACTGCGAGCATACTACATGATTTAATTATCGAATTAATATGCATGTTGTAATTTAAATTTCGTTGGAAACGTTAAGGTACGCAATTAATTGTTTTTATCAAGTATGTGTTTATGTGATTAAAATTGTTTTTCATATAAAATTTTTGTTTTCCGTTGCGTACACGTGCCTGATTCCCAACAGCTCCAACGCACCTCCGAGCCATGCGCCAACGCACATTCGCGCCCCTCAGGCCGACGCGCCAACACGTCTCCGCGCGTCTCCGACCCACGCTCCAACGAGCCTTCGCGCACCTCCAACCCACGTGTCTCTGCGTCCCCCGGCCAACGCGCCAATGCGAGACTACTACAATTTTTACTCTCGACACGACCCGGCACCCCTTTCGACTTGACTCCCACATCGACTTGAGATTGGGGGGCTTAATGATATGCATAATTGGGCCGGTCCAACGGGCCTATAATTTCTTAACTTACTGGGCCACAAGCCCAATATCGAAGACCACTACAACCGATGCCCAATCACCTTCAAATAAAGTTTGGGCTCGACAATTACAATCAATTAATCTCAGTCCAACAAGCTCAGTGTAAATAAATGTTAGAACTCATTTGTTAAGGTACGTTCAATAGTCTAACAATACTACTCTTTGAATTCTCTCTACAATCCTTGCAAGCCACACGTCTGACTTGAGCATCGGATGGGTTTCCGCCAGATCAACCTCGGACATAGTTTACGTGTTCTCTGATCGTAGGTGTCTCGGGCTCATCTAGCTCGTGAGCCAGTGATCCACTTTGCTCTTCCATCTCATCGTACTTCAACTACATCAGGTTATCTATCTCTAGCATCATCAATACTCTAACTTCATCAATATTGCACATAGACTCCGAGTTTGAACAAATATACCGCATTAACCACCATTATCATAATATTTTGATTTTTTTTTCTTAGAAAATATTTTATTTTATGATTTTTTTCCTAGTCAGAGTCCAGTGTTAGACTTATTTTTTTTGATTTTTTTTTTCCGGCCGATCTCCGACGTTGATTTTTTTTGTTTTTGAAACTCTTTTTCTCTCTCTTAATTGTTGTACTAACAACATTATTGTCTGATACGGTAATACTGATGCCAAAACAGTAATATTAGTGTCCCAAATAGTAATATTACTGCAGGAGACAGTGATATTACGGTGGGAGACAACAATATTACAGGCCGAAACGATAACATTAATTAATACAGTAGTATTACTGTCTCAGACAACAATATTACTTTCTTTTACTGCAATATTTCTATCCGAGACAACAAAATTAATGATTTTTTTTAAGTTTACAAAGAAAAAGAAAAAAAAAAGTGCAATGGTGGCTGACCTGCCGGAAAAAGAAATTCAAAAAAAAAGTCGGTGGCTTGCCAGCGCCAGCAGTCAAAATTAGAATAAATGTCAAAATTAATTAATTAGTGAAATTAAGCTAAATTGTGGTGTAAATCATGGAATTGAAATTGAATTATGGTTTCAAGGAATTGGAGGTAATTTTGATATATATGAAAGAGTTTTCTTTATTAACAAATAAATTTAAATTAGATGAATATTTGCATAACAAAAAAATTGAATGTGCCTTATCCAAGTGTCCTTGTCCAATTTGCCATTTGCCCTTAAAAACACACACACACAATCTCACTAAAATTAAATTGCATTTTAATGCAATTTTTGAAGTTCTACAATCCCACTATTTTAACCTACGAATAACTACAAACTAAAAAGAAAAATGAAAACAACGAACTTAAGGGTATTAGTGCATTTAATTTTACACAAAAACTCAAAGGTTTTAGTGCTTTAATTTAAAAATACGAGATCATATTCCTGATTTGATAATGGAATAAACATGCATAAAGCTTCTACCTAATCAACGTTTACGATAAACAAAGTTTCATCGACCTATCACAAACCGCAGGTACATACAATTTACTACAAGTAACGACAGACATGATCG